CTCCCAGTACGACACGTTGCATGATATGCCTCTCCCAGTACGATACGTTACATGACAGACAGACAGACAGACAGGTTTATTCGGTAATTTAGTCCCAAGGCCCATAATACATACATTTGGCAAAAGTAAATACATACTGAGTAAAGCTAAGTAAAGTTTAGTATTGATTTGTTTTACAGATAATCATTCCTTCTACGGGGAACTTGTGAAAGATATTTACTCAATGATTTTAAAATATGTATATTGTCTGATGACAACAATCGGATGAAGGTTTCAATTGTCGGTGGTTGAGTCAGGTGTATTGAAAAACAATCAGATCTTTGTTGGGAATATTTTGGACATATTAATAAAATATGGAGTTCATCTTCGATGTAATCAAGGCCAGCAGCATGACAAGAGGCAGAGACGTTCATTATACGGGTGTTTGTATGACGGCCACATTCCACTGCGAGTCTGAAGTTACAGCACCGAAACTGAGTTATGATTTTACGTTGATTTGGTTGCAATTCACTGGTTAAATATGGTTCGACGCTTAAAGATGATTTAAATTGTGAATAGTATTTACATTTGGGTGACGAAAATAGTGATGCATGCCAGTTTTGAGTGAAGCAGTCATAGAATCGCTGCTTAAAATTACCATGAATGTGGATATACAGCCTATGTCTTGAGATATCCATAAGAAACCAAATCCATATTGGAATAATATCAGCCTAATATGAGAAGCCCATGTTGTTTTACCATTATCATCGAGAGTTTTCATCATTAGATATGCCTGATAAGGAAGTCTGTTTCGTGGAAGCTGTATCAGTCTGCACCAGTACTTGACTGCTCTTGAGATAAACTCTGTCAAAAGAAACGCAACCCCTGTATTTTAGAGATTTTGATCTGAAGTTTTTAGGACGACACGGCATTTTTATTATTTAAGACAGAAGTCTGAAATTTGGCAGAATAATAACCCAGATGGGCATGTTTAAAATTGTCATTTCAAAAGTCATCTCACAGACACCAGTTTGTCACCAGGGGGCGTCTTTCTCAGTAGCTCGTATGAGCACCACGCGCTGCAATCACTGCACGGCATCTCCTTGGACAAGAACGGATAAGACGCCGGATTCTTTCCTGGGGAATGGCTCTCCACTCCTCCTGCAGTGCAACGGCGAGCTGTTGCAGCGTCTGTGGCGGCGGCTGACGTTGACGTACGCGTCGATCCAGAGTATCCACAGGTGTTCAATAGGGTTGAGGTCTGGTGATTTAGAGGGGTCATGGCAAGACATTGACGTTGGAATTCTGCAGAAAGTTCATTGTTGCCGTGCAGTATGAGGCCGGGCGTTGTCCCGTTGAAAATCTGTGTCTGTTGGTCAATAATCGGGAGAAGGTGAAGCTCTAACACGTGGTTGATGTAACGTTGGGCTGTCAGGTTCCCTGGAACGATCACCAAGTCTGATTTCTGGTTGTATGAGATGGTTCCCCAAACCATGACGCTTTCTCCGCCAAATCTGTCCACCTGTCGGACGCAGATGGGCGCAAAACGTTTATGACGTCTCCTATACAGACGCTGTCTTCCGTCGTGACGTTGCAAAGAAAACGTGATTCATCAGAAAACCAGATTCGCCTCCAGTTTTGTAAAGTCCGTATCCTTACGTTGTTGCACCACCTGAGTCGTCGGCGTCGATGTAGGGGCGTAGTACAGGTCCAACAACTGGTCTACAGGCACGTAAACCCGCTTCTTTCAGACGGTTCCTAATCGTTTGAGCTGACACTCTCCTCAAACCTGGTATTTGTGTGGCAGTCACGGTTGGTAGGGCATGCCGATTACGCAGGTGATGGACCCGGATGTACCGATCTTGCAGGGGTCGTGATTCTTGGCCTTCCACTTCTCGGGCGATCGTTGGTCAAATTGAAGTTGTTGTAGCGGCTCCAAAGTCGGGATATCGTTGTTTTGTGAACATTTAGGTGCCGTGCAACAGTTCCAAAACTTTCTCCGGCTTGAACACGACCAATGGCGATATTTCGGTCGGCAGCACTCAATCGTGGCATTTTTAACGCAGCTTTCGGCGACAAATGAATGAATATAATACGGAACCACATGGGCTTTTACACCCCTACATTAACTGCCATTTTCATGATTTGCATGTGTTTTTTTGTGCGAAGTCACCATGAGGGTCATTTCATGCGTTGTGACGGAATAAGCAATAAAATACACTTATGCGTACAAATGCAGTTGTTTGGATGGTAATCTTCATTAATTACGTGTATCATTTCAATACATTCGAATAAAATTTAGTTTGGAAGCAATAACTTCATTCAAACGAATTTTTCATATCTGAGGACAGGGGTTGCGTTTCTTTTTGACAGAGTTTATATTGATACTGGAGGGAGCTCTCCCACACTCCCAGAACCATGTTGTTGTTGGTAGTTTTACTTACTTTAAGAAATGACTTGCAAAATCTGGTGTTCACAGTTTCAATAATTTTACAGTAGCTTGTTCCCCATATTTCAGATCCGTAACAGAGTATTGGTGCAATCATAGAGTCAAATATCTTAAACAATTCATGATGGTTAATATATCCAAAACATTTTTGATAATTGTTGATAGAAAATATGGCCTTCCTCGCTTGAGACGATAAACAGGTTTTCTCTTTTGTCCATGATAATCTTGGAGTAAACACAATACCTAAGTATCTATACATATTAACAACCTCGATTTGTGTTCCATTTAAAAACCACTTCTAATAATCCCTGAGCGGTCCTCCATTGCGAAATACCATTATTTTAGACTTTTTCAGGTTTACATTCATTCCAGTACATGATATGCCTCTCGAAGTAGGACACGTTACATGATATGCCTGTCCCAGTACGACACGTTACATGATATGCCTCTCCCAGTACGATACGTTACATGATATGCCTCTCGAAGTAGGACACGTTACATGATATGCCTCTCCCAGTACGACACGTTACATGATATGCCTCTCCCAGTACGATACGTTACATGATATGCCTCTCGAAGTAGGACACGTTACGATACGTTATGATATGCCTCTCCCAGTACGACACGTTACATGATATGCCTCTCCCAGTAGGACACGTTACATGATATGCCTCTCCCAGTACGATACGTTACATGATATGCCTCTCCCAGTATGATACATAATATGGTATGCCTCTCCCAGTATGACACGTTACATGATATGCCTCTCCCAGTACGATACGTTACATGATATGCCTCTCGAAGTAGGACTCGTTACATGATATGCCTCTCCCATTACGATATTTTACATAATATGCCTATCCCAGTACGACACGTTACATGGTATGCCCCTCCCAGTACGATACGTTACATGATATGCCTCTCGAAGTATGACACGTTACATGGTGTGCCTCTCCCAGTACGACACGTCACATGATATGCCTCTGCCAGTACGATATGTTACATGATATGCTTCTCCCATGCATTACAATATGTTACATGATATGCTTCTCCCAGTATGACACGGTATTTGATATACCTCTTCCAGAATGACATGTTACATGATATGCCTCTCCCATCACTATACGTTACATGATATGCCTCTCCCATTACGATACGTTACATGATACGCCTGTTCCATTACGATACGTTCATGATACGCCTGTTCCATATCGACACGTAACATGATATGTCTCTCCCAGTACGATACGTAACATGATATGCCTCTCCCATTACGATACGTAACATGATATGCCTCTCCCATTACGACACGTAACATGATATGCCTGTTCCAGAACGATACGTTACGCGCATCACAGTAGGATTCTTTACAACATGTGCATTTAGATATGAGCGTTATACTTGAAAAAGGACCCTGTCTTCCGAAGATGGAACATTGGTGGTTCGAACTCCGGGATCTATAAATCTGTATATCACCGTACACAGAGATGTTTATCATCTGCCAATAGCTTTAGTAACAGAACGACTTGTTAACATCCGGGTTAGAATCGATCTTCAGCAAAACGCTTGTCACATTCATAAGAGGCAACTAACAGGATCGGATGATCAGTTTCACTGATTGGTCCATGTAATACATCGTATTCCAAATGCATAGATCTATACGCATCTCGGGTTACGGGACGTTACACGATACGCATGTCAGCAGGATTCTTTACTTGATACGCATTTAGATATTAGCATGATACCTGAAGGGAATCCCTCTTTCCCGAAGAAGGAATGTTGATGGTTCAAGTTGCGGGGTGGCCAGACTAGTACAAGCTGGCACACACGCACACACACGTTAGAAGGTGAACATGTTAGACATGCCATAGTACAATGCTCAACACGATGAGCATCTCTGTGTACGATGCTGTATAGACATAACAACCACCTCGCAGTACGTCAGGGGCGGTGGGGTAGCCTAGTGGTTAAAGCGTTCGCTCGTCACGCCGAAGACCCGGGTTCGGTTCCCGACATGGGTACAGTGTGTGAATCCCATTTCTGGTGTCCCCCTAGATGATATTGCTGAATATTGGATAAAAGCGGAGAAAACCCCACTCAGTCAGTTCGTACGTTATACATAACAGAGCGACCCGTAAAATTCAGGGTAAGAATCGATTTCGAATCACAGATCTCGCGTTAGATCATCGTGACAATCTTTTAAAGTTTGGATTTTGTCAATGCAATCATATACTTCGGATTTTTAATCATTCCTTTTTGCCGATTACTTTGATTATTCTAGACAAGGTGTTGAAAACGTCCTTGTCAAAATACTGCTCGTTTCAAAATGTTCGTTTTCAAGTTCTAATGGAATATAATTCTCGAAATCTGAAAAATTGTTCCAGAATATATCTACTGAGTGTTTTCCTAAACTGTTAAAAACCTTTAATATCTAACGCAATTGCATGTGGAGCCTGTTACACAGAGATTTTACTTCGAGCATCGCGTTCATGAAACATATTAATAGCGGATAGCTTCATTCTTAGTGGTATGTATTATCTCCCCTTGTTGGTTTTCACCTCCAAACATAAACATGGCGAGCTTACAGAGATTCACGAGGGTATTCTGCAAACGTGTTTCGAGATCCTGCATTACAAAATCAAAATCTTTTTGTACATCCTCAAACCAGATACATAAAGATGACTTGTGGAAGATATATCACAAACGGAAACAACAAGTGCAAGGTAGGTGGTTGTCTTCTGAAGCTGTGTGTGTCCTGGCAACCGATTGCATTTGGCAAATCAACGCCACGGCATCAAGACTGCGCATTCATAATTGAGGGATAATATTCATCTTCCTATGTTTTCAGTTCTGACATAGTTTGAACGGCCGCTTTTAAAATCGGTAATTTTTATGCAAATGTGGCCTGTTCTTCATTTTCATTAGCCATGAGTTCGCCTGCTATCCGTGGAATTTTAGCAGACGATTTTTTAGCCCGCTGCTGAACTTGGTAGAGGTGACATCTGCAGTGAGTATCAGTGCAGTGATAACTAAATGCTGTGTCTATTTTTAAATAAAGCACTGGGTTTTGATGAGACTGAAAACATGACAACGTGTGTTAGCATTTACAAATTATGTATAACGAAATGCATACATTTACCGTTGTGAACAGGTGATTGGTTTAGCCTTATTGGGCGTCTCGTCAGAAACAAAAATATCTTGCGAAAACAGAACAAACCTGTTAAACATGTCACCCTCTACATTATTTGAAATGAGCTGATAAAAATACAAATAGTATTTTGCATCTGTTCTGTATGTATTCTCTGATTCAAACAATGTTAACAATATACACACATTATATGAAATTGTCATTGATAATAAACGATTTGAAATTTGTTCATTTTCTGGAACAATTTTCATCCACAATGTCTTATAGACGTCTTTTGAACTTGGTAGGTATATAGAAGAATGTCTTGTCAAAAGTTGATAAAATCATTTCAATGCACTAATGCATTTGTCTCTCCAAATATGGTTTTATTCAAACTATGAACATATGAGTATATATTGTAGATTGAAATACAGAAGTTGTACTTAAGATGTGGTGATTTCAGAGAAATCCTTTGCTGCTGATGTGAACAAGGAGGGGATATTTGCTAACAATGAGATGCACCTGGGAGATGTGGAGGTGTATGGGTTTGATTACGACTACACACTGGCTCACTACACAACACAGCTCCACTATCTGCTCTATAGGCTGGGACAGCAAGCCCTTGTCAATGACTATAAGGTCAGTACTGCCACAAGTTATACACGAACATACATTTCCCTATGCTTTATAGGGCTGCGCAATATAACCAGGTTTAACGGTATTTACCGGTTCAGACGTGAAAACGATACGTATTGCGATACGCTGATCGAAAACCGGTATTTTGACATGCATTCGGAAAACGTCGTAACACTTGGAAATCTTCAGATATTTCCTTGTTTCATTTGTGCCAAATATTCACACTTTTATTTTATCACGATTAAAATTTGTTATTAAAGCTTAATCAAGCATAGTGATTTTGTTGTGTTTTTGCTCTATAAATCAAGCAGTAACTTGATTATAAGTAGATTTTTGTTTAAAAATACTTCATGCAATATATTGCAATGCATATCGCAATACATGCTTCACGCAATATATCGCAATATGAATATTCTCTGCAATACCCACCCCTAATGCTTTATACACAGGCCGCACCTCACACCAGTTCACAAAGATTATATGTGAGTGTACTATTGAGCTTCCTCTTTGAAGCATGTGTGACGCCCATTTCTGGTGTCCCCCGCCGTGATGTTGCTGGAATATTGCTAAAAGCGGCGTAAAACCAAACTCAGTCAGTCCTCTTTGAAGCATTGGAAGATGCCTTCAATTTGTAACAATTGAGCAGTAGTGTTACTTAGTTAGGGGCCGTCCTCTTGGACCTTAAGGTCTTCTCAAACATTTTTTAAATTTATGGCCTTTTGTATTTAAGTCCAGATATTTTCTGAAATAATGAATTATTTCCAACATTGATATATATATATAACTCGTTTATGTTCATTCATTCAACCACAAAGGGGGCAGTGGGGTAGCCTAGTGGTTAAAGCGTTGCCTCGTCACGCTGAAGACCCGGTTTCGATTCCCCACATGGGTACAATGTATGAAGCCCTTTTCTAGTGTCCTCCGCCGTGATATTGCTGGAGTATTGCTAAAAGCGACGTAAAACCATACTCATTCACTCAATCACAAAGGCTGTATAATACATGACATGTAATGTATTTTTCTTTCAGTACCCAAACGAGATTTCCAACTTCAAATATGATCCAGACTTTGCCATAAGAGGGCTCCATTATGATGTCAGACAGGTGAGGTTGAAGGAAGTGGAAGTCGAGCTCATGCTGGATAACAATAAATTGATTAATATCTCACTATGTGTGTTTTTTCAGGCATAAATCATCTTGTATAGTTTATGAACTTACAGAACAGTAAATCTTTTTTAATCCAACAAAGAAACAGGCATATTAATGCCACAAAGATTTTAGGTCTTATTGATTTCGACCCACTCAAATTTACCAATTAGAGTTAACTGCCTTTGGAATAACTAACATCTTTCTCATTAGAGTTTCCTGCCCCTACAGTCCGTTTGGCTCAAAAGCGGACCGATGAATTGCAATCTAACTCGAAAACTAATAAGCATAACATACTCAATGAAACGCTGATCATAATCAAAACATCATACCCATTCTGTGAGGTTTTTGCAGAATTTTTGTCCTAAAAATAATAAAGTTGTTTAACAAACTATCATTAAAATATTGACACAGTTCACTGTTTGTTACGAGGGAGGAGTGCAGAGAAAGGGAGTGGGTATGATGTTTTGATTTTGATCAGTGTTTCATTGAGTAATTTATGTTTATTAGTTTTCGAGTTAGATTGCAACTCATCGGTCCGCTTTTGAGCCAAACTGACTATAGATAGAGGGCATTTAGACAGTTATGAGCAGATGCTGTATTAAACATTTGAGGACATTTCCTGAGCCGCAGTGTGTTTTAGCAAACAGAGTTTCAGATGAAATGGCAGAATAGTTTTAGTAGAGGATTCTCAAACTGTCAGTTTTGTACATTGTGTTGTTTGTGTGACCATTTGAGTCCACTAACTTGTCCACTCTTGCTTATCATTTCAGGGGCTTCTCATGAAGATTGACTCATTTCATAACATACAGCTAGGAACTGTATACAGGTAAACAACTAGTGTTCTTTGGTTTGCAAAGATAAATATTTATATATTTATTCATGTACTAGTTCAATGTTGATATAACCTAATGCCAATATATGCCTCCTGAAATATTCATGAATACTTCATGTCAATAAAATATCCATGTAACCATACGGTTCAAAGTGGTATCATGTTTATATAAAGTATCAACATGTTCATACATCAGAAAATCATTGACAGCAGATGTTTATATGAGGTATTAACTTCTGTCATTTTTCAGTGAATCATTCATTATGAAAGATTCAATAACCATATAAAGAATCTGTTGTTGACACGTAGGTCTCATCCAAGCAGTAACTGTAAATCAGATGCTTCAGCTTGTTCATTTTTCTGATCGCGTACTGTAGAGTTTTAATCGTCAAAACTGTACTGAAGTTTCAAGGACTTCGCAAAGATGATAAGCAATGTAAGTCAAGCATTTTAGGAATTAAAATAAACTTAAATAACATTATTACATGGAACTCACGTTCTCAATTGCACAACTTGTACTTGGTTCATGTATATTAAACTATGGTTATAATGAACTAAAAGTGATGAGTAATTTTAGTTTGTTATGATCATAGTTCTTTAAACCCATTTTGACTAAAATTAAAAATATATAGCATGGGCTGAGACTACAAAAACAGTTTGTTATATATACATCAATTTGTGGGTTTTTTTTTTTGTTTTTTTATGTTGTTGCTTCTTTCTATTTGTTTTTTGGGCATCATCTCAATATTCCTCTGATCCATGATGTCTGTGCTATAAGTAGGAAAACTATTAGTACAAAAATAGGAAAACTTCACAACTTTTATGCATTTAGTTCAAAACAACGGTTGTCTTTATGATGTTATTGGTTTTTCAGGGTTTAATGGTTTTCTTTTTATGTTGTGTACATCAAATCTTGTCTGAGCATTTTCGCCATGTTCAGATACAACTGAAGATCTTGTCTCCTTAGTCTCTTGGGTCTCATCTAATTGATCTATTATTCCAAACTACTAGACATTGGCGGCCAAATTGGGAAAAATAATTAAAACTTTATTCACTAAATGTATTTGTTTACCAAGGGGTGGAAATAACTTTAAAATTGCTAATGTACTCCAGTACAGTGGCACATGTAAAATCACTTGCCCTGATAATTTTTCCACTATACCGGCTAATTTTTTAAATAAACAACATACCGTATATGACCGTCTATAAGACGACCCCATGGATAAGACGACCCCCAAACTTGACCCTCCAAATCAGTGTCAAAATCATATCTCTCATAGGTAGGCTCCTTGAGTCTACACAGGTGATTGTCAATCTCCCTGAAGACTTGCTTTCTGCTTCTTGTCGCAGCACCAAAGTCTATTTGTGAAATCTTCACCCTCTCAGCATGTTCAATTCTTCTAATGACTTCTACAAATCTGTATATGTTCGGATGCCTGTGTGGAATTTCACGGTTCAGTCGGTTGTGAAAACCTTCTAGATTGTTGTTTGTCCTCGGCCCAGTTGTCAGGTTGTGGTTCCACAGGGGAAGTAGAAATCTGGCTGTGTCGTCGACCCAGGTTGTCACGATGTAATCATTGAAGTCGACTGCTCTTGGGACGTCTGGAGTGTTGTCCATGGCTTCTACCCACGTGTTCTGGACCGTGTCTTGAGGGAGGAGAGGTAGCCCAGCTGCTCTCCTGATCCACTTGGTGACTTCGGGGTTTTATGATGTAGACTTGATTCCATAGTGCAGGGCAGGCAGTGAATGTTTCATCCATGTAGATGTTCTCGGCTGACTGCAAGGCCTGAATACTCTCTTGGGTGCCAAATGCCAGGATCTTGTCATCATCGCCGTCAGCAAACAGGAGGAATGGTCGACCATCTGCTGTCTGCGTCCAGGGATCTTGAAGGTCGACTTCTGATCTCGTCTGTGGTAAAACAGGAATCGTATGTAGGGGTTATGGGATACAACCCAACGTAAGTGTATTTGGTGAAAATATTACATAATAAAGATTACCGGTGTATTGTGGAAACCTGTGTTTGTTTTCCTTTTTATATCCCAACGATCACTGCTTGCATCAACAACGAAATGCCATTTTGTGAAATTGGTGAGTATAGAAATGTGAACCCAAGAGAAAAAGTACCATCGGTAAATAAAAACTGAAGTCAATTTTTGATTCAAAACATTATTTAAGTGTCCATATTTCATGAAGCATGTATTTATATAACAATAAGAAAAATAGTCCATTCACAATAAATACTGACATTTCTGCAAGAGAGCTCTGACATTTTCTTTACAAGTCATCGGCCGTAAACCCTTCGAATTCAGTGTCACTGTCCTCGCCAGCCAGTTCCGTCCACACTAACTCGTTGGTTCTATCATCATAATAATCTTCAAGATTGTCACACACAAGCACATCTTCGTCTTCTTTTCTGATTTTCGAGCGTTAGAAATTCCTCGAACAAGGCATCGTCTTCAGATCCGTCCATTGCATTTGAAATGCCACATTTCAAAAATGAATTCTTGACCATGATTGTTGGAATTTCGTGCCACGAGTCCCTGACCCATCGAGCCACTTCACTAGGTGGAGCCTTCCTCATGGCGTTGGATTTCGTGAAAGTGTGTTCACCTTTAATCATCCAATCTGACCACTTTTCCCTGACGTTCACCTTGAATGGTTTGTTAAGGGAAACATCCAGTGATTGAAGTAGAGATGTGCAGCCACCCGGAATAACTGCCTGATATGTCTTCTTTTCCACCAACCTTTTCTTCAAAGATTGACACAAATGGGCCCTAAACATATCCCAAACAAGTAGTGAGTTGCAGCCTCTCAATCCACCTGGACTCGCAGACCACACATCCTCTACCCATCTGTTCACGAGAGTCGCGTCCATCCATCCCTTGGGATGAACTGCAACTACCACACCTGTAGGAAACTTTTCTTTCGGCATTGTCTTACGCTTAATAGACAATCATCGGTTTTAATTTCGTGCCATCTGCCATACAGGTTAGTACGACTGTGAAGTGTTGCTTATCGTTCCCTGTTGTTTTAACTGACACAGTCTTTATCCCTTTAATGTCGACGGTCTTTGATCCAGGCATATCAAAGCTTAGTGATGTTTCGTCCATGTTACCTATCTGTGACAGATCATAGTTGATAGCTGTTCTTTCCTTGATAACAAACGCTTGAAATAAGTCCACTTTAGTGCTGACTTGGTCCGGCAGTTTCTGGGCAATATGTGTCCTTTCCCTTAAGACCAGAATCCTTCTCTCCATGAATCGCGTACACCAAGTTGATGATGCTTTAAACGAGGAGGGCAGTCCTAACTCCTCCTTCTTCGCCTTGTATGTTGTCAGTGCTCGGTGACGAATCATGTTCCTAGTCACAATGAAACCGGCTTGCCTCTTTTCAAGTATCCACTCAGCCAGGACGTCCTCGAGCTTGATAAATTGTGATACTTTGAATCTCCTTGCTTTCTTGTTCTTTGGCATCTCCATCAGTGAGGCCTTTTCCTTTCTCCAGTTTCGCACTTGTTTTTTCATTTATGTCAAACTCACGGGCAGCAGCACTGTTGTAAGTTGCCTCAGCTTCAGCAACAACTCGCAACTTGAATGAAGCATCGTAGGCGTGGCGTTTTCTTTTCAAACTCATGATAAGAATGTCATTTCCAGAACTTATTCTAACTTTTATACCTATGTGCATTAACTCACCAATTTCCTGGATACAATTATATTGTTTGAATACGAAGGAATTAACATTGGAAAGTCAACTGGACACTGGTACAGCTTGATATACAAATTTGCTTGCCCGACAGAAAAACACACTGGACTGGGACGTCAGGCAATTTTCTTAAGAGATTGATAATCAGTTATATCATTAATGGGAAGAATTCTTAATGATTATTGATATGATATTTATGTTATTCATTATATTCTGCATAAACTAATGTGCTGAAACAGAGGTACAGATAAGCTGCGTATCTGCATAAATTACGCAAATATTTACGAGAGAACTCAATTCCTATTAAGTCTATTGTGTACAAGTTTGCTTGATGTTTTGTAAATAATCATTAAATTTGATCTTGCATGCGTACAGACAAAAGTGTCAAATCTTAGCTTGTGTACCGGTGAATAGAGAAAGTAACAAAGGTACACTGTGAGGTTCTATTTCAGCACACGAACTTGGCAACTTGCAGTCTTTCTTATCGTTTCTCATATTACAGATCAAATATAGATAACAAACATGTAATTGAACATTTAAACTTTATTATATTTTTACAATTGATGGAAAATGGCAAAATACCCAATTGAGTTTAGGTGAGGTGGGTACAATTTATTTGGTTACTCAAAGGAAAATTGAGATACCCAATTGAGATGAACACAAGCGAGTACACAACTCAATGACTCAAAAACTTATCTGTAGCTCTGTGAAATGTTTTGATTTACTCACATAATATGCAAAGTTAGTCTTTATTCATGGGTTGCTGTTTAAGGATGTTCAGGGTGTTGTTTTGTTAATAAATGTTCACCAGAGGTGTGAGCGATGTTGATTTCCTGCATTTTTTGTCAAAGTTGCTTCTGATTTTAATCAATAGTCTCTATGATATATAGGGATATCCAGCCCTATTCTTTACTTTGCGTTTGATTCATTGCTGCCTCTTACTCATTATTGGTCCCGTGATCGGTTAAATACAAGACACCTCCACAAGTGATACTGTTAGTGTGTCTGTAAACGTACATGGTTTAGACATTTGGACTCAAACACCAGCCTCTGAGCAGGTACAGGTAAGGTCAAAGCAAGGGCTGTGTATTGGCAAATATATTGTATTGCAATATATTGCAGTTCATGTACCTGTATTGCAATATGTATTGCGCTATATTAATATTGAGAACTTAAGTGTGTGACAGTGAGAGACACTAATTGTGGATATCAATCCTATTTTCTCTATTATACGTCCCTAAACATATACAGTGAAGCCCCGTTAGTCCGTTCTCCGATAATCCGGATGTCTCGCCTCCCAGACGATTTCAGCTTGTTACCAACCTATGCCTATATAATTTGCCTCGATAACCCGGAAATTCGGTTTCTAAAACCGGACGGTAAGTAGCTGTCACCAATCAGTAAAATAAACAGTAAATTGCTTCACAGTCCGGACGCAGTAAGTCGTGTTCACGAACTGTAACAACACCTCCCGTACATTTACACTTTGATTGACACCACAATACAAAGGCTCGGATGACAAGTGAGCTGTTTTGTGATTGGTTAATGTACTTTGAATAATTTGGACATTCAAGGCATACTACAATAGATCGCTTGTTAGACATTACCTCACCTGTGCTGAGGAAGGACGTGATCGGACACGTCGGATCAACATGCGGATGTCACTCGGTAAAATTATTGATGTGATGAATTAAGCTTTTCATTAAATGCTTATTTGTTTTATCCAGATTTGTGTCGTTTTTGTAATAGTTAGGGAGGCAACTTGGGTCTTGATTCAGTAGTCCGGACTATTCGCAATCCGGATGAATTTACTGAGAAACGCAACCGTCCAGATTAACGAGGCTTCACTGAATATGTTATGGTTCTGATAACAGCAATCTCAAAATTAGGTTGCATAGCCAGTTATTCTATTTTCTTTGTTGTACGATTCATAGTATTACAGTATGTCATTTTGTCATTGAATATCGAAGGAAAGCATTTGTTGTGAATGAAAGTCTGTGTAGATTTTACTTCAGACCATAAACATAATCGCAAAATCTCCATGTAAGTTCTTTACCCAATATACCAGTTCTCTGAAAAAATATTGCAATACATATCGTTTGAAAAGCGTATTGCGCTATGCCGGTATACAGGTATTCCGCGCAGTCCTATTCAAGGCCATGTCTGTTTCAGGGGTATGCAGGCTGTGTCGGATGTGGAGGTGAAGGCCACCTACGAAGGGACACATGTCTCCTTGGAGAAGATGAACACATTCTATGGAACAGTATGTAAACTTTCCACTGTCCTCGAGTCTGATGCTGCTAGGGAAAAGTCTGAAATACGTGTGGTAACATAAAGTTGGCAGTTTGTCGTTGCAAATTGATGTTCTCATTACTACAGTTCTGTGGGGGTTTGTGGAACAAAGTTTCCTTGTTGTTTAACTTTGATTTATCTGTTCATTTGCAAATGATTTCAACATATTCAGTTGATAATGCCATTTTGCATTTTGAATATCATTTTGACGGTCTTGATGACATTTTGTGAGTTTATTGTTCAGACAGGCATTGTACTTGTTTATAACATGGACACAACATGCATTTGAAACACTTTCAAAATGTTCAATTCATGCTGATTTGAACTTTTTGAGTTATATTTTAAAATTCTTGAAAATGTTTTTTTATTTGTTTTGCTTGAACAGCAGTTGCAATAATCTATGAGATATTGTCATGACTTGCTCTGGTTTTCTAGTCAGCGTTCAAATGCACGTAAGTCTGTTAGTCTGAAACAAGTAATATTCAGGAGGACTAGTGACATTCCACTTTTAGCCATCAGGTAGATTGCAGCCCTGTAGCATGTAGTGGTGGTCCGATTTATTGAAATAATCGAAGATTGGTCGCAATGACAAAACGACCAAGCAATCGATCATGTTTTCTCATAATCGAACACAATCAATTTTGGAACACGTGTTTGCAATAACTATATTTTTCACAAGGTTGGTTTTTTCAACCAATTCTTCCTCTTCCAATTCAAGATTGAATTTATTTTAAAGACTCAATGAAATTCATGTTCCTAACATGCTAGTTATCCTTTAAAGATGTGCAATTTGCAAAGAAAATGAAAGAACTACATGTTTTTTTCTTTTCCTTTTGTGCATTAACAAACATAACCAGGAAAATTTGACAAATGACGCTAACCAATTTTTTTCGATGAACCAATCATCAATTATGAGATTGAAACCAATTCCCAACACTAGTAGCATGTCATTAGTTGCAAACAAGTGAAAGGATAAATTATTGCCTGAACTTGCTGGAATATGACATGTTCATTGACATCCAATAGAAACCAACTCGTGATATCTGGAGTGTAACATTGTGCAATTTGTTGAATATGCAGAGGTTCTATTATTAGTTTAACTGTATTCATTTTATCCAAAAGTAATTTCCATCAGTTTCTGAACATTGTGCATTGTCTTGTGTGAATTGCTGAAAAGTTGACAATAATGTGCTTGTTATCTTTACATTATAAAACACAGCGTTTTCAATAGTGTTGGCATCTGGTTGAAATCAGGGGCGGTGGGGTAGCCTAGTGGTTAAAGCGTTGGCTCGTCACGCGCCGAAAACCCGGGTTCGAATCCCCACATAGGTACAATGTGTGAAGCTCATTTCTGGTGTCCCCGGCCATGATGTTGCTGGAATATTGCTAAAAGCGGCGTAAAACCAAACTCAGTCAGTCAGTTGGTTGAAATCTCATAACTTGATGACTGGTTCAGTACAACTAAACAATCATTTAGAAAAACTTTTCATGTTTTTCTTTCAAGGTTGTTGAAGAAAAAAACATGTAGTTCTCTGTTTCTTTGTTTTTATTTAGAAGCGGTGCAAAAAGCATTTGAAAATTTCACTTCCAACTTGAATGATGCAGCTTGCTACTTTAAACTGATGACATAAACGAGCTGGCAGTTCGTATGAAATGTGCGTTTAATAACACAGGCAAAAGTATCCTTGTAAAAATATTCATCATGCTGAAAAGTGTTTCAAAATCGTTTGTGTTTGATTGTGAGAAAAAATGTTTGATTGCTTCGACAAATTTTCGATTTACACGAGTTCACAATCTGGTCAGTTCTGACTTTCTGTTCCAGGGTCCCATGCATCAACTTGTAGATCTGTTTGCTCTGCCGGAAGTAACACTCATATCGAACATCACAGAGGTTTGTACAGCTAACATTAAGTTGTGCATGTTTCATCTTTTTCTCCACCTTCAGATGGTTCCTTATAGAACCATAACTAGTTGCAAAGAAATCAGTATTTAATGAAAATCAAACAATGGCATTTCAAATTACAATCATTTCTCTCTCTAGACATTTCTTGCAGAGAGAATTTTTAGTTTATGTGAAAACCTGCACATAAGATCCAGTGTGTTTTGTGGTGACGATTATTTGTTGCATTTGGATAGAACCAATATCTTATATTTTTTCGTATGGATTTGTTTTGACAGCTTTGACACTTCATAAGATGGGTCCTAGTATTGTAACTACTCTCCCGACATATGAATAAAAAGAAAAATGAATACCAAGTACAATTATGACACACTTGTATAAATTGTAATTGTTTACTGTTATACAATTTCTGGAGTATAATTATTTAATTTATCGTAATGTTGTGTACTATCTTCATTTCAGTATTTTGTACAAAACAACATCACGTACGATCCTGAGTATGTGTTCTATGATGTGAGGGTAAGTACTGATGGCACAGGTTGGTGGTATGAATTGATCAGCCATGATCATGAGCTATGAGGAATGTCCCTCATGCAAAAAATGTTGACACATCTGCTGCACAAAAATAAACATACGTTAGATTTGTTATACTGCAGAGCTTTGTCCAGGTGAGGTGAGGTGAAATTGGGTTTAACGTCGTGCTTGAGAATATTTCGCTCATATGACGACGTGCATGCGTGTGTATGTGTATGTGCGGCTGCTTGTACTAGCCCAGACCTAAGCTGGTTTTATAGTGCTAGCCCACTGGGATACCATGCCGCAGTGAAGCATGAATACCCCACTCAGACACATTATACTGACTCCGAGCCGACCAGTCCTTGTTGTACCCATGAATGCCGAGTGCCAGGCAGGGACCAACAAGTACCATATTTTAACGTCTTTTGGTATGATGCGTTCGGGGATCGAACCCGCGACCTTCCGCTCTCCGGGCTGACGCTCTAACCACTACACCTCGGAGGCGGTCGCTTTGTCCAGGATTCTAAACTAAATGCCCCAAGCCGAAAAATAAGGGAGGGGCTATTGGGTAGTCTAGTAATCAAAGCTTTCCCTAGTTTAATTCCCAGTGAATATGTACTGTGAGAAGCCCATTTCTAGTGTCTCCCATGGGGATATTGCTCAAAGAGGTGTGAAACCATACTCCCCCCATATTCTCACATGCTATGCAGGGGGGTCACTTGCTTTGTACATAAGGTTTATGGGTGGGGGGCATTCACATTTTACATGCTTCTACCTAAAGATCATCATCACCCCCCAAGCCATTAATTATATGAACGGCCCCTAAGGGGAAATTATTTTGTTAAAGATCTTATTGTGTCAAATTGAGTTGTACATGTAGTTTGCTCTTTCATTTGAAGCTATAATATATAGCCAAGTGTTAAAGTCTCTTTTATTGCCTTTATGGTAAGAGAAATACAAATTCCCACTATAAAAATCAATTTGCTTCATATATATATATATTTACTTAAAATTGGGAAATTTGTAATTCCTATTTGATAATATGTAATGATATTTGCTGCAGCTTTGGCACCAAATATCAACCAATGAGTATTTCTAGATGTGTCTCTGGTGATGTTAAGTGATGCAACATCATTCACTAATTACATGTTTACTGTGTATGTGTTCATTCATTTGCTGTTATATGTGGAAAGCAGCAGTTACCAGACTGCAGCTAATTATGAGAATTGATCTGTTGTTGCTATGAATATGTGATGAATCTTTCTATTCATTTGCACTGACCAACATGTCATATTTTCCAAATCCACCTTTCATGAAACTGCTTGATGTTGTTCGCTCATCATGCCGAAGACCCGGGTTCAATTCCACACATGGGTACAATGTGTGAAGCTCATTTCTGGTGTCCCCCACCGTGATATTGCTGGAATATTGCTGAAGCAGTGTAAAACTAAACTCACTCATTGTAAGGTCATTAAGTGATTGTGCTTTGTGTCTGTTACAGAATGCTGTGCAGGGTGTTCACTCTTCTGGGCTGCTTCATCAGAAGATCATGGAGAACCTTGGTGAGTGGTGGGGCAGAGCATGCTTGGGTGTCCAGAGTAGCTTAGATTAGATTGAGCAGCTTTTCTTCCTATACCACTGTGACCAGGTGCTTCAGTGGTCAGGGTTTCCACCATTAAGAAAACAAATGAAGAGTGTCCCCAAGCAATGAAGGCCCAGCCCTACGTTTCATACACTAGAAGTTGGATAGATAGATATGGTGAGTGAAGGGCACATGGCTTGGTCACACTTCTGAGAGTGTTGTGTGTGACACTAGAAGTGAGATAGATAGATATGGTGAGTGAAGGGCACATGGCTTGGTCACACTTCTGAGAGTGTTGTGTGTGACACTAGAAGTTGGATAGATAGCTATGGTGAGTGAAGGGCACATGGCTTGGTCACACTTCTGAGAGTGTTGTGTGTGACACTAGAAGTGAGATAGATAGATATGGTGAGTGAAGGGCACATGGCTTGGTCACACTTCTGAGAGTGTTGTGTGTGTGTGACACTAGAAGTGAGATAGATAGATATGGTGAGTGAAGGGCACATGGCTTGGTCACACTTCTGAGAGTGTTGTGTGTGACACTAGAAGTTGGATAGATACATATGGTGAGTGAAGGGCACATGGCTTGGTCACACTTCTGAGAGTGTTGTGTGTGACACTAGAAGTTGGATAGATAGCTATGGTGAGTGAAGGGCACATGGCTTGGTCACACTTCTGAGAGTGTTGTGTGTGACACTAGAAGTTGGATAGATAGCTATGGTGAGTGAAGGGCACATGGCTTGGTCACACTTCTGAGAGTGTTGTGTGTGACACTAGAAGTTGGATAGATACATATGGTGAGTGAAGGGCACATGGCTTGGTCACACTTGAGAGAGTTGTGTGTGTGTGACACTATGTGAGGATAGATAGGCTATATGGTGAGTGAAGGGCACATGGCTTAGATAGCTATGTCAAGGGCACATGGCTCTGAGAGTGTTGTGTGTGACACTAGAAGTTGGATAGATAGCTATGGTGAGTGAAGGGCACACTGGCTTGGTCACACTTCTGAGAGTGTTGTGTGTGTGACACTAGAAGTTGAGAGATAGATAGCTATGGTGAGTGAAGGGCACATGGCTTGGTCACACTTCTGAGAGTGTTGTGTGTGACACTAGAAGTTGGATAGATAGATATGGTGAGTGAAGGGCACATGGCTTGGTCACACTTCTGAGAGTGTTGTGTGTGACACTAGAAGTGAGATAGATAGCTATGGTGAGTGAAGGGCACATGGCTTGGTCACACTTCTGAGAGTGTTGTGTGTGACACTAGAAGTTGGATAGATAGCTATGGTGAGTGAAGGGCACATGGCTTGGTCACACTTCTGAGAGTGTTGTGTGTGACACTAGAAGTTGGATAGATAGCTATGGTGAGTGAAGGGCACATGGCTTGGTCACACTTCTGAGAGTGTTGTGTGTGACACTAGAAGTGAGATAGATACATATGGTGAGTGAAGGGCACATGGCTTGGTCACACTTCTGAGAGTGTTGTGTGTGACACTAGAAGTTGGATAGATAGCTATGGTGAGTGAAGGGCACATGGCTTGGTCACACTTCTGAGAGTGTTGTGTGTGACACTAGAAGTTGGATAGATATAGATAGCTATGGTGAGTGAAGGGCACATGGCACTTGGTCACACTTCTGAGAGTGTTGTGTGTGACACTAGAAGTTGGATAGATAGCTATGGTGAGTGAAGGGCACATGGCTTGGTCACACTTCTGAGAGTGTTGTGTGTGACACTAGAAGAGTTGTTGCTGGAGAGGTTGTCTAGTGCGGGGAAAAAACTCTTCCTCATCACAAACAGTGGCTTCCCCTTCATGTGAGTCCATTCAGTGATATTAGTCAGTGAAGAAAGAGTTAGTTCATATTCTCTGAGGAACATCTTATGCAAAACTTGCTATAAGGAACCTGTTCTTAAGTTAGTTGTAGGAAAGAAAGTTTCAAGACATGCCACCAGTCACAATAATAGTGTTAATTGTGAAAAGGTTCATTTCCTTGGAATACTAAATGGACATCTCTCATGAGATGGCAGTGGAAAAACTATACTTCACGAAAGACTGAAGGTATTTGATGAGAACTCCTGTGATGTTACAGTTTACAATACCAGTGGAGCTCAGAGCTTGTTTTCCTCTTCACTTGCCCTGACAGTGATAATAATGGTTAGAACAGGATCAGTGAAAACTATTTTCAGGTTGTTGCTTTGTTTGGTAAGTTGATTTTATCGGCTGGTTTGTTGGTTGGTTGTTGTTTAACACTGCACTAAGCAATATTCCAGCTATATGGTGGCGGTCTGTAAATAATCGAGTCTGGACCAGACAGTCCAGTGATCAACAACATGATCATCGCTCTACGCAATTGGGATACGATGAAATGTGTCAACCAAGTCAGAGAGTCTGACCACCCATTAGTTGCTTCTTACGACAAGCGGAGGTTGCTGAAGACCTGGATCTAACCTGGATCTTCTCAGGTTTTATCGGATAGAAAACTTGCAGGGACATATTAGTCTACCCTAATCAAGTTGTATTTTGTGTTTAGTGTAAGTTACTTTGTGTGTTTCAGACATGCTGGCATGTCGTACATGATCGGAGATGACTGGCAGGACCTGTTTGATGTCATTATCACTAATGCTAGAAAACCAAAATTTTTCAATGAAGCTTCTCGGTAAGTAAACATGCAACATGAGTTGAAGAAGAATGTACTGTAGATAATATTTCTGCCCTGAACTATTATACCATCAGAGCACTTGAATGCATCAGTCTCTGAATGCGTGTATCCTTGTGTCAATCAGCAATGCCTATTTATGTTTATGTTTCTATCCAGCATGTGTGTGATGCTGACTGAAGGTATGAAATCAGATTATAGCGATTAGAAATGATATAATAATAGTTAAACAAATCATTATTATATTTTGCTCTTGATGAACATAAGGAAATACTTGATGTTGTGAGCTGAACTACTTTCTTTCAGGCCATTCCGCACGTACGACCCAGCCTTGTTCAGTCAGTCCTGGGACAGAGTTCAGACACTGGAGAAAGGAAAAGTCTATCAGCAGGTACATGGTTCCCACATGACTAGCTCCCTCTGGAGAACAGCAAATAAAGAAATAAAAATAGATAATAAAAACAAAAAAATAAGGAAAAATACTGCAGACAGCTATATATAGCAAGCTCATTGTCTCTGTCTGTCAGTCAGTCTTAATTTTTGTTGTCTGAAATCTGAGATGATCTATGATGTATGAAATTTTGAAGAATGTTGTGATATATTTGTTGCTGATCCTGTTTTGATGTCGTCCACCAGGGCAACTTCTACCTGCTGACCCAGATGACCGGCTGGTACGGCTCAAGGGTTCTGTACTTCGGAGACCATGTCTACAGCGATCTGGCTGTGAGTCTGTGGATGAAGGGAGCTAACTCTGTAGTACTTTGGTTGGTTGGTTGGTGTTTGTTTAACGCAGCTCTCAGCAATATTCCAGCTATGTGGCGGCGGTCTGTAAATAATCGAGTCTGGACCAGACAATCCAGTGATCAACCGTATGAGCATCTATCTACACAACTGGGATACAATGACATGTGCCAACCAAGTCAGCGTGCCTGACCACCCGATCCTGTTAGTCGACTCTTACGACAAGCATGGGTTACTGAAGATCAATTCTAACCTGATCTTCATGGGTCCTGAATTACGTCTACAAAACAGGGACAAATACTTCTTGTGATCAAACCAACTATAATCATAACATGTAGTTCCATATGCCTGTCAGTGTTATTTCAGTGGCCTCAATCACATTGAATATTTCTCAAGCAAGTGATTATTTGCCATTTCAAAGTTGGTATGTTGCTGACACGTACAGTTGTTCCTCTAGGCTTGTTTACTTTTAATTATGATTGAAGTTGATCATTTACAACATTTCCTCCACTTTCAGGATCCGTCGCTGCGTCATGGCTGGAGAACTGGTGCTATCATTCCTGAGTTGGAGGTAGGATATCATGATGTAATTTCAACCTAGTTGTAAAGTTTTACATACACATCAGGATTCTTTACATTCAATATGTAAGTCACATTTCCCAGTATCATTAATCATTGAAACTCTGGACCCAGTCGCCACCACAGCTACAGTAGGGGTAGCCTAGTGGTTAAAGCATTCGCTCATCGCGCCGTAGGCCTGGGTTTGATTGTCCACAATGTGGGTACAATGTGTGAAGCCCATTTCTGGTGTCTCCTGCTGTGATATTGCTGGAATATTGCTAAAAACGGGGTAAAACTATACTCACTTACTTACTCACAGCTACATTACGAGCGTGATCTGAATAATATGTCTGAATACAGCTGTCCAGTCAAGACCCGTGAAGTTCCGGGTTAGAATGTACTTTCAGAAACCCATGCTTGTCGTAAGAGGTGACTAACGGGATCGGGTCGCTGGCTTGGTTGACACATGTGATCGGTTCCCAATTGGAGCAGGTCGATGCTCATGCTGTTGATCAGTGGATTGTCTGGTCCAGACTCGATTATTTACAGACCGCCGCCATATAGCTGGAATATTGCTGAGTGTGGCGTAAAACTAAACTCACTCACTATCCAGTCAAGTGGCTCTTGTAAGTGAAAAAAGTAAGTGATTGATGTGGGTGGAGCTGTTGACGTCACTTCTAAAACAAAGTTCTGTTTACGATACAGTTGATTTCTATGTTCATATTGAGTTCTCGTTATTACTCATTGTAGTATGGACATTTAACTTACTGAGTAAACAAGGATGCATTTGTCCAATAGTACTATACATGGTTGGTTGGTTGGTTGTTGTATACTCCGCACTTGGCAGTATTCCAGCCATAGCGGCGGTCTGTAAATAATCGAGTCTGAACCAGACAATCCAGTGATCAACAGCATGAGCATTGATCTACGTAAGTTTGACACGATGACGTGTCAACCAAGTTGAGCCTGACCACCCGATCCCGTTACTCGCCTTTTAGGACAAGCTACTATATGTGGCGATACACAGTACTTCTATAGCGCATATAACAATGGCTAAAGTCTGATTTTGTTTTCTCTCGCAGAAACGTTACATGAGGACAACTCATTACAAACAGCGAATAGCCAATGAAATTGTGCTGTTTTCATTTTAATCAGGAAATCAAGCTCTTATTCTTTCCAGACAATGAAATATTTATTGTCTACTTCAGGCTGAAATTGAACAACAGAATGATCCTGCATACAAGTCAGCTGTGAGATGGCTGGTGTCTCTACAACAACTCATAGAAAAACACCAGGTGAGATATCGTGTGTATGTGTAAGAAATATATCGTGAAAAATCACACTGTATGTGTGTATCTGTGGCAAGGCATGGAGTTACCCCAAGGATGACATCCTTACCTTATCAGCTTGCTGACAGGGTTAACCTGTTTGGTCATGTGGACAAAGCATCTGACTTCGGATCAGAAGGTCCGTGGTTGGAATCCCATCAGGGGAAAATTATGGCTGCTATATATCTTTTAGCTATAAATAGCTACTTCACCAGAGGATATGTCATCATGTATAGGTATGAGAAATATATTGTGAGACATACTGTCTGTGCGCCATTATCACTATAGTGTGATATACTATCAGTCTAAGTATTAAGGTGTATACTTAGTTATGCTATTATTCACTACTATGTGAGAAATACTTTGTGACAATTTCACTTTTTTCTGATATACCATATATTACCGTAGATAAGCCAAATTTTAAAGTAAAAAAAAAGCAGTCTGTAGAAGAAGTCGGCTTATCTATGGGTTGCACTTTCGTCAAACTTTTATCAGGGGGTAAGAAAACGACATCGTATCGCAACGAACAAGAGAAGACAACTTTGTCAGTAAAGACATCAAATTTGTAATTAAACATCACCAGACAAGATAATTTACCTTTTCAGTTCTAATTTGTTTTTGCTAGGCACTGTCTTATATGTATGTTTGACCTGTTACCGATGAGGTTTCACGTGATCTCCATATTTCCAACACGCAAACAGTTTGTTGACATGTGATCGTCCGGCAGCAACAAATATGACCTTTAGCGAAACAAAACATGTATACGTGTCCATTTTCTGTCAACTACACTTCATTTCGAGGCATGAGTAGACGCAATATGATAGTGATTGCTATGAATAATTCAGACTGAAATTGTAATTATCGGGTCAAAAACTTCAATATGGAATTGTTGACACTATTCCCGATGACCGATCACAACGAAAAGATGAGCAAAGGTTGGTTGGTCGGCTTATCTATGGAACATACCATTTGAAGGGTCAGGTTAGGGTGTCGGCTTATCTATGGAACATACCATTTGAAGGGTCAGGTTAGGGTGTCGGCTTATCTATGGAACATACCATTTGAAGGGTCAAGTTAGGGTGTCGGCTTAACTATGAGATCGGCTTATCTACTGTAATATACGGTACTCCTAAGTTAAGATGTTAAGGTTATATAATATTAGTTTAAGCCAAAGAACTTGCAACAATTTCCAGAGTGGGCATGCATGACCTTTTAGAAAATGTATGTTTTGGAACATGATCAGAATGCAAAGGCGGCATTGCAAGGTATAAAGTTTTGAATGTGTATATATAATATATAAAATCATATTCATGTACCTCACACGTGAAATCTTGTAGGTGTTGTGTAGCTCCAGAAACCTATCCCACAGTATTGTTTATTTCCCAGTGTCAAGAATGTCCCGAACAGAAAGAAGTGATACAGACGTGGCTGGAGGAGAGAGATGATCTCAGGTGAGGCTTGGATAGATTATAATGCCTGTATAGGCTGAAGTGCATGCACATTTCACTAAATCTTTCTGTAGTGTTACGTTTTGGACCTTGCAAATATAGCAAAGTTATTTGACAGAAGTTATATTTGGGATTACACTATTAGTAAAGAGCAGATTCTAGTACATTTTTGGTCGAGTCCAATCTGGAATTCGAACCCACACTCTCAGAGTCGCAGTCCCCCGCTGGGATATTTCTGGAATATTGCTAAAACCGACGTTAAACCATACTCACTCACTCACTCACTCAGCTTGTAAAGCTGTAACAAAGTAATAGCTGTCGATGTTCAGTAAGACTGTTAAACCAGCTTTTCTCTCTCTTATGTTATGTAACAAACATGAAGATGTATACAAATGAATTTTTTTCTGATAATCACCTCATTGTGAATGTTAATTTCCATGCTTTGAGATGGGGTTGTCAAAGGCGGTGTATTACAGCTTCTTTATTGTTATATTACATATTACATAAATCTTATGACTATTTTCGCAATGTTTCACTGATGTAAGTTAAAATGTATGGTCTTCATTTTCTTTCTGTTGCAGAAACTTCACAAAAGCAGTGTTCAATCCACGGTTTGGTAATCCACAGTTTCGGACGTACCACAACCCGACATATTTCACTCGCCGCTTGGCATCTGACATCTTGCTGACATCTACATGTCGAGTCTGACAAACCTGCTGCACTACTCAGTAGACCACTCCTTCTACCCACACCGAGTGTTGCTTCCACATGAACCAGGACCCTTCTCCAAGTACTGAGGAGACACAATATATTGAAATTACAATGTACTGTCAAGGATTGGACACTTAAGCAAATCAGTGGAAAAGTCATCTGGGGAGAGATGGCCAGGTTTAACAGATCATGGACGTTACTACTGACTAGGGAACATTCATGATCTACTGCAGTGATATCTGGACCTAATGTTGTTGGTAAAATGTTGAACTAGTCGCTTCAAGCATTGATGGGCAACAGCACCAGTGCTGGTTCAAGTACTTCATACCAACATGCAAACATTGATGGTGTGTTGAGCTAGCTTTGTATCTAATACTGACATGGAAGCATTGATGGTCAAATGTATTAGTACTGTGTGTAGTACTTACTTTGAAGTACTGATGGTCTACTGCACTGATTATAATTCCAGGAGATGATGCTAACATTGATAGTCTCTGCACTCATACATAGACCAAATATTGACATTGAAGCAAATAATACTTTAGTGGTACCTGGACCCAGTACGGACACTGAAGCATTGATAGTCTACTACACTAACACCAAAATTCAGTATGGGCATTGAAGTGTTGATAGTCTACTACACTGTCACCTAGACTCAATATGGGCATTGAAGTGTTGATAGTCTACTACATTGGCACCTAGACCCAGTATGGACATTGAAGTGTTGATAGTCTACTACACTGGCAGCTAGACTGAGTATGGACATTGAAGTGTTGATTGTCTACTACATATTCACCTAGACCAAGCGTGGACATTGAAGCATCAATAGTCAAATACACTCGGCACCTAGACCAATAGGTTGATAGAACCGTTGATAGGTTACTACATTGGCACTTAGACCCAGCATGCATATTGAAGCATTGATAGTCTACTACACTGGCAGCTAGACACAGCATGCATATTGAAGTGTTGATAGTCTACTACACCCTGCACCTAGACCCAGTATAGACGGTGAAGCGTTGATAGGTTACTACATTGGCACCTAGACCCAGTATGGACATTGAAGTGTTGATAGTCTAGTACACAGGCACCTAGACCCAGTATGGACACTGAAGCACTGATAGTCTACTACACTGGCACCTAGACCCAGTATGGACATTGAAGTGTTGATAGTCTACTACACCCTGCACCTAGACCCAGTATGGACTGTGAAGCGTTGATAGTCTACTACACTGGCACCTAGACTCAGTATGGACATTGAAGCGTTGATAGTCTAGTACACTGGCACCTAGATCCAGTATGGACACTGACGTGCACAGCACATGTACTTAGAAACAGAATCAGTATTGAAGCATTGATAATCTACTACTTCGGCACCTGGACCCAGAATAGATGCTGTAGCATTGACAGTGTACTACATGAGTGACTGGGGTCAATATAGACATGAAAGCATTTGAGGTCTTAAGGTCTGGAACACGGAACTGATGTTGATATGGCTAATATATATAGTACATCTGATGCTTATGATAATCTGTATAATTAAGTATTTTCAGAAAATAATCAGAGCTGATATTTTATGTAAGATTCACAGACTTATAATTACTATTTTAATAAGGCCTCCGACGGGCTGCTCTTTTTTCTTTATGAATGATGCCTTTGCCTTAATATTTACTGATCTTACAACGTGTGATATATTTTAACTGTCCTAATCAGAGGTTGATCATATGTGACCAGTTTAGCATCAGTTGTCTGAATCTCACTCTGACATGACATGATGACATGTTATGACTCTTCAGTGTAATGGCATGCAGTAGAAACACGTGCTAAGAAACAAAACATATCTATACCATCCCACTTTGAAACGTTATGAGCCTTCATCAGCTAACTTCATTTCCTTAATATTTGTGGTTTGTACGTCACATATGTGCATATTATCCTATGACTTGGTTTGGTTTGGTCGTTGTTTAATGCAGCACTCAGCAATGTTCCAGCTATATGACGGTGGTCTGTAAAAAATCAAGTCTGGACCAGACAATCCAGTGATCAACAACATGAACATTGGTCTACGCAATTGGGATAGGGTGACATGTGTCAACCAAGTCAGCCAATATGACCACCCAATCCCGTTAGTCGCCACTTTAGACAAGCATGGGTTGCTGAAGACCAATTCTAACCTGGATATTCATGGGTCCTATTACCCAATGATCACCAGATGGTACGATGTACTTGTGATGTTTGGAGGTCACACAACACTGTTGAAGGCTGTTGTTTTCACTGTTCTGAACCGCCGGTGCTATATGGGGAATTATAAAACTATGTAAAATTAAGAAGTTGTATGAATGTCTATACATGGTCTGAAACCATATTCTGATGTTGACTGAATCAAATACTGTATTACACATGATATCCTTGATGTATTTATTCACCATGAAAGATGTGACACAGTAGTCTCCTTGATGCATCATAGGAACCTCAAGCTTCTTCAATGTCATGAAAATATATTTTCCTTCATGGTAATATTGTACACAAGATTATGCCTTTGTGACAGAATTGCTTTTATTTTATTGTTTAGAAAATGCTTGTCATTACCTTCTCTTCGTATGAGAATTTTTTTGTCATTACATTATACTAATGTGTCAGATAATACAAGTCATATAGAAACAAACTGTTCAAGATGACTGAGCGGTGGAATGTTATTAATACATTGGTTCTTCTTGAAGTATCCAGATAAAGATAACTACTTTGAGTGGCATTTTCGAAGTTGGAAAGTACAATACTGACAATCTTTGTGGATAAAAAGTTCTATTATTTTGTGAGTGTGACGTATCAATACAGGCTCTTATACCATTGCCAACCTGAATCTGTATCGAAACATCGCACTCACAAATGAAAGAAGTTGATATCCAGAAAGTTGGTCAGGATTATCAACACACACTATCCTGTTTCAGGGTAAATATACTCTGCGTCAGTTTATGAAACAACACTATATTATAGGATTAGATATCCCTTATTCTGTGTTAAAATGATGAGTCCCATGTTAAGCCTAGGATGTAGTTTCATATTCGAATCCATGTGTGTATGCATTAGCCCTTCATTATACCACTGCCATTTTACTTTATTGCAGGTTATTTTATGAGATCAGCAGAAATCAAATGCAATGATAACAGTCGTAACAAATTTTATTTTTGGGATTACTTGGTTTATGGATTTTGAAATAGATTCAACTGTTGTCTTAGAAGTTGAGAGTGAGGAAAAATTGCGCTGTTGGTCTACTTAGATTTTTCTTTCACTCATCCATTCCCTTTTTGAGACCAGTGATTAGAATCGATTCAGTGTACTCATAAAGATCTTTACCAAAAGCTGAAATGGTTAAAGAGAGGTCTGGATTTGTGACTTGGCTGATTGAGATGCTCATGTTTGAGTAATTTTTTCACGAGGACAAAACAACATTAATCCTGACTACAATAATTTACCTGTATATCTCATCAGAATTTGAAGCATTTGGCACACACCCCAGTAATGAAAACAACCAATTTTTCAGATTATTCCTTCTTTGTGAACGATTCTTTTCATTAGACTAAAAAACCAAGTAATCAAAAACAACATTTTGCTGTTACAAACTGTGACTCGTATAAACACTGTGATATGTTTGTGAAATGTTTGATTTATGTGTGATTATTTTAACACTATCCAAGGTGTTTAGAAATGTTAAGGTGTAGTTTAGGTTTATTTTTTAAGCAACGTTTGTGTTGCAATTTGTTACTATCTCAGCAAGAATTTTACGTATGCATATGCTGGAAGTTTATGCATTGCTGTTTATTTTATTGTAGGATGATTGTTGTGGTTTACTGAAATCTATTATTGTTAATTATGTGTATTTTAGGATGAAACACAGGGATAGTAAATGACTACTCTGAATCAGATAAACGTGTTTTTTTGTTTCATTGTTCTGCTTCATAAACGTCCTACCGTGGCATGTGGATCATACTCACGGTCAATGATGTCCACATGTCCACCCATATTGAAGGGAACGGACACAAAGCTCATAACTCAAAGGTCAATAATGTTCATATGTCCACCCATATTGAAGGGAACGGACACAAAGATCATTACTCAAAGGTCAATGATCATATGTCCACCCATATAGATGGGAACGGACACAAAGCTCATAACTCAAAGGTCCATAATGTTCACATGTCCACCCATATAGAAAGGAACAGACGCAAAGATCATTACTCAAAGGTCAATGATTATATGTCCACCCATATAGATGGGAACGGACACAAAGCTCATAACCCAAAGGTCAATGAGGTTCATATGTCCATCCATATCGAAGTTAATAGACACAAAGGGCACAACGTAAAGGTCAATAGTGTTCATGTGTCCACCCATTTAGAGAAGAACGTATGCAAAGATCATAACTCAAAGGTCAATAATGTTCACATGTCCACCCATATAGAAAGGAACAGACACAAAGATCATAACTCAAAGGTCAATGATGTTCATATATCCACTCATATAGAAAGGAACGGACACAAAGCTCATAACTCAAAGGTCAGTGAGGTTCATATGTCCATCCATATAGAAGGGAACGGACACAAAGGTCACAACTCAGAGGTCAATAGAGTTCATGTGTCCACCCATTTAGAGGAGAACAAATACAAAGCTCATAACTCAAAGGTCAATGATCACATGTCCACCGATATAGAAGGTGACGGACACAAAGATAATAACTCAAAGGTCAATAATGTTCATGTGTCAACCCATATAGAAAGGAATGGACACAAAGATCATAACTTAGAGGTCAATGTTCATATGTCCATCCATATAGAAGCTAATAGACACAAAGGTCACAACTCAGAGGTCAATAGTGTTCATGTGTCCACCCATTTAGAGGAGAACGTATGCAAAGATCATAACTCAGAGGTCAATGAGGTTCATATGTCCACCCATATAGAAAGGAACGGACACAAAAACCATGCATGTATTTCAAAGATCAATGTTGTTCATATATCCATCCATAGTCAGCTGTTTTCTTACACCCGTCTGTTGGTTTTATCCGTTATGGTAACTGTATAGACTGTCTGTAAAGGGTCATTGATGTGTAGGTGCATGTTTGAAGATATTAAATACGCTAACCCAGCATGTGGTCAAATCATGATATGTGAGTGTGTGAGCCGTCTTTAACACCACTCCAGTATATCAGCTGCATTTCACAGCGTGTCAGCTTGGTCGTCGTGAAGTACTGCAGGTCTTAGACGCTTATCACTTGGATAGAACTCAAGTACAACTGAGTGAATCAGTATGGTGACACCGCTTTTAGCACCACTATTCCAGCAATATCACGGAGGACTGCACCACAAATGGGCTTCACACATAGTACCCATGTGGGGAATCGAACCCGGGCCTTTAAACACAAGGCTATCCCACCGTCCCTGGAACTAAAGACAAAGAAACGTTGAATGGTGAATATTTCTAACATCCAGGAAAATATGTTTTTGTGAAATGTTTTAATCACATTCTCAATAACACCAAAAGTACAAGCGCATGCAACTATATACATTATGTTTATCTTCTATTAGCATCAAGCATTAAAACACTGCAAACTCTGGTTAGTGTACAAGAAGTTAGAACTGCATTTTTAGCATATCATACTTTATGTGCAATTGTGCAGCTACTCAAAGAAAGGAAACTGGTATGTATGGATGGATGGATGTATGGATGGATGGATGGATGTTTTTGCTGATAGCAAATTTAGACTGAATCTGTGTATCACTTAATCAGTTTTGCAATACTATATTGTGATGTGTATGCAAGTGTGAGGCTGCTAATGTCTAGTCCAGACTCGCATGACATCGGTGTTGTGGGGCTTGATACCATACCGTAGTTAAACATGTCCCACTCCACCCAGTAAACTGAATCCGTACGGCCGCTCGTTCTTTCAACAGAACGATTTTGGTCAGCACATCATAGTCAGTGTAGGTTTCGGTACCAATCATAACTATTTAATAGGGGTGGGTATTGCAGAGAATATTCATATTGCGATATATATTTTTAAACAAAAAAATACTTATAATTGAGTTACTGCTTGATTTATAGAGCAAAAACACCACAAAATCACTATGGTTGATTAAGCTTTAATTACAAATTTTAAAGATGATAAAATAAAAATGTGAATAATATTGGCACAAATGAAACAAGGAAATATCCGAATATTTCCGAGTGTTACGACGTTTTCCGAATGCATGTCAAATACCGGTTTTCGATCACCGTATCGCAATACGTATCGTTTTCATGTCTGAACCGGTAAATACCGGTAAACCGGTTATATTGCGCAGCCCTACTATTTAACATACATGTAACTCCCAGAAGTGTTAACAGGAAATACCGCAACGCAGGAACAAGGGTTGGTTTGTTGGTTATTGTTTAACGCCGCACTCAGTTATATGGTGGCGGTCTGGTGGGAGTCTGAACCAGACAAGCCAGTGATCAACCTCGTGAGCATAGATGTACACAACTGTGATACGTTGGCTTGTGTCAACCAAGTCATCAAGCCTGACCACCCGATCCCGTTATTTGCCTCTACAGGCATGGGTTGCCGAAGACCACTTCTGAGCCATAACTTCACGGGAGCAGGAACAAGTGCAATTTACAGGAGATGAGTTATATGTGTAGGTCAAACAGTGTCTGGACAGTTGCGAGACATGTAAATGGATCCAAGAAAAGTGGGTGAGGTTGAGAGTATTGCATGCTGCTTATTATGTGGAGTGTGTTTGCGTGCGTGCACGTGTTCGTGTGTGTGTGCCCCTGGCGCCTGTATTAATATTTAGCATGCGAGTGAGTTACATTTTACGCCGCTTTTAGCAATATTCCAGGAATAACACAGCGGGAAACACCAGAATGGGATTCACACATCGTACCTATGTGGGGAATCGAACCCCGGTCGTCGGCGTGACGAGCTAACGCTTTAATCATGACCACCGTGGAACCTCTTTGTCACCTTTAGTCCATGTACAACTTAGCATACCAAGAGACATCAATAGAAATTAAGTATTTCCGAGTGTCAGCTCCAATAAAAATCAACTAATATTTGAAAACTTATCTGTGATGCTGCCTTCAGGTGGTAGTTCCGGACTGGACACAAGGACAAAGTTACAGATGTAAACAATGCGGTGTAATAAATATTCTGCTAACTGCACTGATCTAATTGGCGTAATATATGTTTTAGCTGCAAATCAAAATAAACGTAATGCGATATATAATAATGATAGTGATATAGATTGTGACTTGTGTATATATAAAGCAGCCATGTTGATACATGTGTGTATATGTCCTTTAAATATTGCTTCAAGTTTTGTATGTTATTACGGAGACAAAGAAGCCACACAGTTGCGTTGCGTTGAAAACACACATAAAGTGTGACGGCAGGGGTTCAATTTTTTTTTTAAAAAGTCAATTGCCACGGGGCAAGTGACTTTAAGAAAGTAATTTGCCCAGACTAATTTTCCACTTGCCCTGATTTTATGAAATAATCATGATGATGTAATTATGAAAGAATAAATCAACATGGTATTTGATGTTTATGTTTACAGGACTATTTATTGAAAAGTGATAAATAGCAAAGAAAGATAACACTATTTTATTATCATTGGGAAATTTAATAGCTACATTTTGAGCAGATATGAAATTACATCCAAGTTTATTTGCAGATTGAAACCATAAGTGGAAATTATCTAGTAGCCCACGGACAAGTAGGATACCATTATTTGATTGCCCGAAATGAAAACTGACTTGTCCCGGGCGTCGGGAAATGGGATTTTTGAACTCCTGGTGACGTGTGACAATGTCATATTCTTCAAGGTAGAACAATGTCGGGTTCTTGCATCGTATAAATTGTGTAAAGTACCATTTAAGATTACGACAGTGGGGCATACTGATAATGTCAAATGACGAGTCGTCACAGTCTGACAACATTGGGTCATTTTGACATTTTTGCTTGTTTTGTAAGGGAGACAACCACATTATACGACAACATGACAATGTCCTGTGAAGAATTCAGTAGTTACCTACATCATTGCAAGCAATAACAATCATATATACACACACAGTATATGCAGTTAATGTTAACAAATCGAACCGAAAGTTTGCCCTAACTACGGTCATCAGCGTTCGTATTTTCTTCTTGTCAATCGATGTGATTTTACGAACGGTTCAGCCACTTCATTCATGCGTACTTACTTCAGTCATATAGACTGTCAGCATCTGGGAAATACTATCTGTGTAATTTTGAGTATTCACTTCTACTACTACTACTACTACTACTACTAGTACTACTACTACTACTACTACTACTACTACTACTACTACTTTCCCCGTCAGCAAAATACATGGTTACTATTTTTCCATACGAGGATCACCCATGCTGTTAGTCCATACTTAAAGCCGTCAGTCATACATGTAAATTTGTAATATGTGGTCGTTTGCTACTACTACTACTACTACTACTACTACTACTACTACTACTACTACTACTACTTTCCCCGTCAGTAGAATACAAGGTTACTATATATACATACGAGGATCACCCATGCTGTTAGTCCATACTTAAAGCCGTCAGTCCTACATGTAAATTTGTAATGATATGTGGTCGTTTGCTGCACAAGTAAATATCTATATATCTATGTTCATCTATCATCATCATCATGGCAATCTCTCTCACACCACGGCATCACGACAGCGCCTTGACAATCATCGCTTTCTTCTCCTCCGTCATGTTGATGTCGCTGCCCACTACAAGTCTCATGCTGACAGTGAGGAGATGTGGGTTATACACCCCGAACATCGGCCACAGTGGTTCACTACAGTCTACATTGTCTAACGTCGACATGACTTTCTTCTCCTTCACATCAATGAAGACAATCTTCTTCCTGGCGTCATCATAGACAACACCGTAATGTAGTGTGTGTGATGCCCCTGCTGTGTTGGGGAGAGTGTCAGGCAGACACAGCACATACTTCCCCTCCTTCCATATCTTCCTGCATATCCCGCCGTGTGTAGTACAGTGGGCGACGTCCATACAGTAGGAGTAAGGACGTCCATCTATACAATGACTCACGTCCCTCTGCTCCTCCCTACATACTCCAACCTCCAGGATGAGGTTGGTCCCTGAGAGTGGTTTGTCCAGACTGACCCTGTTCTCCACCTCCCAGTACTGGGGACAACCATCCTGGGGGAGGGGGTCAGTGCTGCATGTGCCCCAGTACTTCTTCAGTCTCCCTTCCCCTGCAGGTCTGGTGTCCGACTTCCTGTTGACCAGGTCTCCTTCTGTGTTGATGTGGACTGTGTCGAGATTGACTCTGTCTTTGTCATACTTCAGTGGTGTACCTACAAAACAGGACACATAGTCGGATTGTGAATAAAACATGACACAAGTTGTAATAATAAATGTATAAAGTGATAAGTATACGAAGTGATTTTTGAATAACTGCAATATAATCAATTACAAATAGTATAACACAAACACTTTGCTGCAGTGAGGCGGGTGCTTTCATCTAGTACACATGTATATTACCATTCCATTATCTGATACTATTTTAACCTGAATGTAGAGTAAAGAAGAGCGATTCAGTAAGCAATGGTTATGCGCCTATTTCTCGTCAGCAATGAAAATGAGTGTGAAAAAGAAAGGTAGAAACAATCTACAGCAATATATCCACAGACGATAATAACGCTATGTTATCAGATATATAGGAAGATGAAATTCTAGGTCACTCAAACAGGTAGATGCTGGGGAGCGGGTAATCACACCAGGGGCAAAAACAGAGGAGTGTCTGCTCCCATATGTTGTCATATAAAGAATATACGGATAAACGCGGTATAACGAGGAACCTGCTGACTGCTTGTCAAACCTGTCGCAGCTGGAGTGTCACGTGACCTAATTTGATCGCTCGGCAAAATGTGAAGTTATCTGTGAAAATGGTTATCTCCCATTTGACAGACAGTCAGTTGACAGACACTGAAGCAGAAGGTTAATTAGGGTAAAACCTACGGGTATAATGGAACAGTCCACTGTCTAGTGAATAGAGTGGGGTGAGCCTGAAACAGGTTCATTACTGAGAAGGTTGATTGTGTGTAAATAGAACTTATGTTGTGATTAAATGATAATCTGTCTTCTCTTCTCAAAATTCTTTAACTATCAATTATTATCGAATATAAAAACAGGTTTGTCACTGAGAGGTTTGATTGTGTTTATTGACTGCAATATATTTTATTCATTCAAGAAAAGGATTGGGCACAAGTTATCCAACTAAAAAAAGGTCTCTCCCAATAATAGTATATCAATGTTCTGATTTTAACAATGCTCTCTAAAGATTGTAACAGGTTATGTATTTGAATGGACATTCAAAGAAGTAACAAAAAATAGTCTCACATGCATGGCCACATTGACATGATGCGTCATTTTTAAATATTTATTCTAAATAAATCATAATTAAGTGTACTCGTCATATATCTTACTCTTGTGTGCAAAACATTTAATTTCTTTATTCCATATGAATAATATTTAGGTACACATTTTTCTTTCACGTGGATATAAGATTTAAATGATTCCACAGAGTTGCAATTTCGAAAAACTAAGGGAATATTATTCCATATTTTACCTGCTGATTGAATAAAAGATGATGTTGAGTACTTCAGTCTTGTACATGGTTGGCTAAAATTATCAGAGTTTCTTAACTCATAGATTGTTCGGTTGACTATTACAGATGGGAGTAAATCCTGTAGAACAACTGGTGTTGTTCTGTTTAGTAGGAATTATTTTAGATGTCTTTTTGACAATGTTTTCAATATGATGATATTAGATGAGAAGGCTAAACCGAAATGTTTATGAAAATCAACTGTTATTAAATACTGATTCAATCAAAATTCAAATTAATGTCTTTTCGGCCGTCTTTCAAAGTAAATATTATAGTTTCAGTATTTTTCTTGTGTTTTTATTTGGACTATTCCATTATAATGTGCAGGTAGCAGGTAGTTGCTAATCTGTTCACTAACCGTAAATGTTGTTGTTATAAAGCGTCTGCGAACTGGCTGTCTGCGTAATGGGAGGACACCGTGAAAATACGTTCAACTTGGATACTAAGTCTTAATCACAAAACAGCTGCTCGCGCCTTGTTGTGAAAAGAAATTCCGTGCACCACGTGCGAAATAGATTAGACACATCTCCGGCACGTGGAAATCAGGCTGAAGCGGCGTTTCATTGCGAGGTGCGTTCTTTGTTCAAAACCGCATCGATAAGGTTGTCTGCATGTTTCTTCGGTATTGTTTTGAATTACAAGTTAAATGTAATGTCAATTTACGAGGGTGTTTTAACACATCAACAAGTGAAACTGAAGTCACTGGAATATGACTAACTAGTTATCGTAATCGTCTTTAGTCAAATGGAAATGTTTATATGCATAGTTTAATCACCCTTACGAGGTAGTTATTTAAATAAACTCTGCGAGGGCTTTAGCCTTCACGGGTTGTTTTTATTGGAGTTGAATCCGAATGAATCACTGACATACAGTAACAACAATTACATACTGCATTGAAGGGCACTCTGATGAAACAAACAACACTGACCATGAAAATCAAGTTATACTGTTACCTTTATCATTATGTTCACAAAACTTTGTTGCAATACTTCAAGTAAATATTTCACATTAAGGATCTATATCATGTTATTTATCTGTAAACCATTGGCATACAGCCATGCACAATGGGGACGGGGAGCCTGAAAGTATGGTGTAACAGCAACTAATAAAATGATGTTCCACTCAGAGAGCTATTATGGATTTAATATGTACGCACTTGGGCAGAAACCTTCCAGTCAATATATCACAATATGTATTGCAATATCTCTTAAGTTATTGCAATATATCGCAATATGAAAATCAGGGCAATATCCAGCCCTACTCGTAAGGATGGGAAAGCCACAATAACTCGGTGCGCCTAGTGGCTGCAAGAGTTGTATGATCCCCAGGGTATTGAGGTTGATTATAAGATGTTCCGTTGAGATTGACATCCAATGGTCGGGGGAAAACATACCAGCGCCTTGAGCATGCACTTGTGCGTGGACTATGTGCGCTATATAAATATCCGTTAATATAATAATAAATAATAAAAAGAAAGGCACCTTAAAACAAGAGTTTTGACATTTTGACGGACGTCTTAAGTTCTCATTTCGCTCTACAACAAGACTCTGTTTAACGTTACTTTACTCCATTATAAACACATCATGTAGGATCTAATATTTAAGTGTAGTTATATTATGAACTTTATGAACTTATATATATATATATATATGGGCGGTAGGTAGTCTAGTGGTTAAGGCGTTCGCTCGTCACGCCGAAGACCCGGGTTCGATTCCCCACATGGGTACAATGTGTTAAGCCCATTTCTGGTGTCCCCCGCCGTGATATTGCTGGAATATTGCTAAAAGCGGCGTAAAACCAAACTCACTCACTCACTCACTATGTATATATGTGTGAGTGTGAGTGTGAGTGTGAGTGTGAGTGTGTGTGTGTGTGTGTGTGTGTGTGTGTGTGTGTGATATGTTGCTGCTAATACATTCCATGTCATAGTATAATATGTATAATTCTTTCTGAAAACAACATTTAATTAGTTATTGCATACGTCGTATTGGAGTTGATGCAGTTTAAGTAATATGCATCACATTGAGCATATTGTGTCAGATATATAATTGTTATCAGTAACGGTAACTGTTGTGTGTAATGGCCTAAACTAGAATAGGTGTGATATGACTGTTGTATTGATTATTGTTTATTATTATGCTACAGGGTGAAGATATAATATATATTTGAGCAAACAAACTTATGGAGCAAATCACAGCTCACATCAAAGCCGGCGTTGGTCTTCATTCAAGAGTACCAACTCTTACCCTGCAACTCGAACTTACATCAAGATCCCCTTGAGTGAGAGAGTAATCTGCATTCTTCCACAACAGGTTAATGATTGTGTGGCTCTTTTGTTCCATGCTCCCATTGTAATTATCACCCACAACGCAGTATACAAGCGACATCGTCCATAGGGGCAAGGTGTCGTTTCGGAGCAGACCATGAAAACTGTACCGTATTTATGGTAACAAATTTGACTATAAGTTGGAAAGCCGCCTGCTAAGGTCAGTTTTCTATTGTTTGCCATTGTTTACTGGCAAACTCTTGATCACATTCCACAACACCTTTGTCCCTAACTGCCTCTACACCCCCTCAAAACATAACCCCCACCCCCAACCCACACACGATCGCAGGGATTTCATGTATATTTGGCTTTCGTGGGCGTGGTCAAACGTGTTCTTCTTGCTTTTGGTCTGTCCAACAAGTGCCCGCTTTCCCTGTACCGCTGCATTAAGTTGGGTACAGCAACAGCCTCCGTTGGTGAGTTCGTGTTACCGTCTTATTGTTCTATTATTGTATTCTTCATACTAATGGAGGTATGGCATGGATACTGTATCCTTTTCATAGCCTTGCATCACAAGCAGTGTTTTCAGTGTTCCCAGCACATGATTTACACGCGACCAATTGATTGAGTGGATAAAACCAGGAGAGACGAAGACCAGTGGTTCTACCGACCGAACTCTACCACTTATATTCTGGAATTGACAAATGGTAATATGGGGTATAAGTGGGAGATTATGAATGTACTCACACTTCAGAAACATAGATCTGTCTATAGCTCCTGGTTTCAGCTCATGAACAACACATTCTCTGGCCACACCTGTGACATAAAAAATGAGCATCTCCATTACTGTGGATGTTAGACATGGGGCTTCATGGTTATACCTGTTACGTCAAGGTGAAACACGGTAAGATTTACTATGTGGCACGGCCAGTTGAGCCTTCCTTCGTCTACACTTAACCGCTTCGAAGAAACGTAACTTACAGATTGGACAATCGGACATTTCGTTTAATTTTCTTGTCTTACGACACATCACGCAACACATGTTATATTGTGATTTTCAAATAAAGATATTGATTAATGTTTTTTGTGTCCAATCGTGTCGTATCAATAAGTACTCCACGTTTCATGTAATGTCAGTTGTCCCGAGGTAGTGATTTCAGATTCGGAGAAAGACGCAGTTTGCATGTCTTTACCATTATGATGCCAGACAAAGGCTTGTTGATACAACAGTTTAGTAGTCGGATTGATTTTTAGATATGTGATTGGGGATGGTTAAGCTAATACTAACTTACCTAGCAAGAAGTCCATGGTTGTTGGCGCTCTCTTCTCGATGACTTCTTTCTCTTCAATGCGCTGAAAACATAGCAAACTATTTACTTATCATGAACTGTCTCACAATATGTGAGTGAGGTTAGTTTTACGCCGCACTCAGCAATATGACAGCTGCATGGTGGCGGTCTGTAAATAATCGAGTCTGGACAAGATAATCCAATGATCAACAGCATGAGCATCGATCTAAACAATTAGGATACGATAACATGTCTTACAAAGGCAGTCTTCCAAAACATGTTCGCATGTGTGCCTTCACAAATGGGTTAAGGAACATTTACATCTGTGTCAAAAACGAGTGAGTCAGTGAGTTAATATTTACCGTAACATTGGACATATTTCAGCCATACTGTGACGAGAACAATCTATACATTAAACCTAATAAATCTATACTATAAAACATGTCGTCAAACGACAGTAAAACACTAGAGTAACATATATTTGGTTTAAGACCAGCATATTCTAAAAAAAATGTATCACAACAGAAAAACAAATAAATATTAAAACGGGCTACAGTGATTATAGTTTGGCATGAAATGCATGTGGACCCGGTTTTTTGTAAATATCTCTTCATCCAATGACCCAATCGATCTCAAACTGTGCAAGTGGATGTTTTGTCAGACAACCTAATCACATTGTAAATCACCGATTTTATGCATTTGTATTAAATAATCTCTCTATGTAACTGTCAACAAAATAAACAGCAGACCGCAGACTGCTTGCAGAGGGAGGGAGCTAATGACCCGTAACAGCGGCAGTGTTTGGTCATAAAGGTAAATGCACGTGCAGTTCATGATAGTTACCTGTGCACTGCACAGTGATAGACCGTTTGGATCATTCAGATTGACTACTTCTAGCTGTCATCATGAAAGCTTATTCAGATGATGCTAAACGTTTCATTAGAAATATGTTGAATTTTTTTTAAAACGAGAGCAAACGTAGCAAACCGATTTATAAGGTGTCGGATTACATGAAACGTACAACTTTTGCTCTTGGCATGAAAAAGAACATCGTGCTAAAAATTGTGAAAAATAAACCAACAACCAATAAACAAAACCATGTACAAAAAGGTAGGCATGCAAAGTTAGATTCTTTTGACATCAGGGTCATCAGAGATGTCATTCCCCGGTTATTTGCTAGAAATGAACACCTCTTCATACCTATCACGTGCATAGCTGACCTACATTGACGAACGTTGACCTTTATGACCCAACACTGCCGCTGTTACAAGTCATTGGCTCCCCCCCCCCACCCCTCTGCAAGCAGTCTGTGGTCTGCTGTTTATTTTATTGACAGTTACATAGACAGATTATTTAATACAAATGCATAAAATCGGTGATTTACAATGTGATTAGGTTTTCTGACAAAACATCCACTTGCGAGTCCACATGCATTTCATGCCAAACTATAAAAGCATGTCACATACCCTCTCAGCGGACAATCATTTTACGCTACTTCAACCCTATATGAAGGCATTGCTACCAACAAATTTGTTTTTTCATTCCAAGAAATTAAAATTCCTTTCAGTAAAAAAACTCAAAATTTATAAATGACTCAATTTCCTTCAGAAACCTAAAAATTAAATGAGAATTATGGAATTATTTAACAAGGCTGAATTCAGGCAATCACGGTTTATACTCTGGCGCGTGTCTGCCCAGATGTAGGCTGCCATTTAGCATGCAAAAACCCCGGATGTAACACGCGGTCTGCAAACAGCCACAAGCGTGCGCTCTATGGTCTAAGGGAGATAACTCCACAATAATTAACTTTTACTATGTAATCGTGTGTATATCTTGTGTGGCCAATGCGACATTGCCGCATAATCTCTTCATATCTGGACTGATAGCCAAAGTAGATGTAACCTATTTATACCTACTTGAGTGTCCCACTTCTTTTGCATTAAATCATGGAGGTAAGAGATCTAATTACGGTTTTGTATTTGTTTTGCATAAGGGTATGCCTTAAGAAGTGGTGTCACATATTTTTTGGGTGCTGCTTTAGCAGCAATATCGGCCACCGTGTAACCAACAGAGCACGATGTTGTATCGCCAGTAGCAAGATCATTGTAGAATTCAAGTATTTCGATTTAAAGTGGATGTGGACATTACAAATGTTTAATTGCCTGAAGGCAACAAAGCAAGCCCGAGTGAGTGAGTGAGTTTTGTTTTACGCTGCACTCAGCAATATTTCAGCTATGTGGCAGCGGTCTGTAAATAGTCCAATCAGGACCAGGCAATCAAGTGATCAACATCATGAGCATCGATATACGCAACTGGGAACCGATGACATGTGTCACCCAAGTCAGCGAGCCTGACCACCTGATCCCGTTAGTCGCCTCTTTCGACAAGCATTGGTTACTGAAGATCAATTCTAACCCGGATCTTCTCGGGCCCAGTGAAATGGATGTAATTTTGTCCGGGTTTAAGTCATATGAAACTGCATCAGCGAGTGAGGAATACACGATGTTCTAGACAAAGCCTGATAAACAATAACTCATCAAACCCATCTCTAACTCTTCTGTGGGAGGCATCACCAAAACACAACCAGTTGCGTGCATATCATGGAAAATGTATGGGTTTGTCTTGGAAAAGCTTGCCGAATATGGCTATAAAAGACTCTTAAAAACCACATCACTATCAAAAGACTTGCCAAGATTGACAGCGGAGAAACTTAAACGTGCCTTGGGCATGCTTCAAGTTGGCACGTCAAGTCGAGTTGTTGCACAACGGTTTCAATGCCACCATTCAACCATCCTCAGTCTACAGGTCAGATACCAGCAGACAGGAACCACCAGAGATCGAATACGTTAGGGTCAACCACAGGGGCGTGTCACGCTTAGAAACAGCGTTAGAAAGACATATAGGTATATAGACCCTACCCTGGTACCCTGGTACTATATAGAAGGCCTTTTATATAGTTCTATAAATAGTTATGATAGTAAAAGGCCTTTTATATAGTACTAGGGTAGGGTCTATATACCTATACGTCTTTCTAACGCTGTTTCGAAGCGTGACACGGCCCTGTGGGGTCAACGTCGTGTAACGACACCTCGCCAAGTTCGCCATATTGTTCGTCGACATCTTTAAGATGCACTGCGTCAGGTGTGGAATGCTATCCTCCAGAACAATAATCAAAGACTCATTGAATCAACGAGAAGACAGTGCATGGCCTGTGTTGCTGCCAATGGTGGACATGCCCGATACTGAGTTTCCATTGTCACCCTGTGATCCTTCCATTCACTGATGATGTAAATGTAATCATTGTAATCATATTTCTATGGTGGCTGATTAGGGCAATGGCTTTCTCGCCTTAAAATTCGGAGGCGAGAAAGCGATATCACGAGACGAGAAAGCGATAACACGAGACGAGAAAGCGATAACACGCGAGACGAGAAAGCGATAGCGCGAGACGAGAAAGCGATAGCGCGAGACGAGAAAGCGATAGCAGGAGACGAGAAAGCGATATCATTGCTTGAGCAAGCGATAGAGCGAGAAAGCGAGAAAGCGATATTACCGACAATTCAGTGCTGTCTGCAGCAACGACTGCAAACGGGAGGTCAGTCGCCATTCGTAATTTCTGGTTTAGAGAATATCTAATACAGATGTAAACTTTCCTTTGGCATGCAATTTGCACGTATGCAATATTCATATCGTGAAATAACGGAATCGTTCATTTTGTGATGTCACTAAGGAAATTACATAGTTTATGACATGACTGGATTCGATTTGTCTTAACCAACTTAATCACACCAACCAATTGAATTATTTCTTTGATTGGCATTTTAGAAGTTGCGTTGATGAAGAATGACGAGTAGTTATTACAGTAGATAGGGAATGAGTTGTTTATACAACATATGAAGTTGATGTACAACGCTTGTAGAAGAGATTGGGTAAATGATTGGAAGCCAGAAGGGTGATATACACTGGATGGGGTCGATGTACATAGTTGAATTGAAACAGATAATGTACACAAGAAATAGTATTGATTACTTTATCAAGTGATGGTAGGCATTGGGAATGTACTATCCTTCATCTATGTTGAGGGCGGATCCTATGTTCTTGATGTGGACTGCTTCCAAAAGTTTACGAATTTTGTAGTCTGACTGGTTCTTTTCTATGGTTTTCTTTGAATTATGATGTTGTGTGACAAATGTGTCGGAAGTGCCAGATGAAAGGGACGGATCTATGACAAATAAGGCACTGTGGCAAGTATCTTTTCATGGTGATTTCTACCACGAGTGGCCACCACTAAGACAATCAACCACATCCAAACCATCATCCTAAAATAAAATCACTGAATGAGTGTGTGAATTGAAATATATGTCGCCTAAGAGCAATATTCATGTTTTAGGTTCATTGTTGATGGTTTTGTGACGCCATATTGTACGCCATCAGTTCAATTCCTACTTAATGGAATGGTGAATTACACTTACATTTCAAACAAATTGAAACTTGCGTTTCTTTTGCAGCTCAGTTTATTACATATACATCACATTCAGAGAGTTTTTTGAAGTATGTGGCACTATAAATGAGGCGCATGTAGACAATTCTATAATAATTATCAGTTCTCGCTGTTTGGTTATAGGTGAAGGAATTAGAAATGAGGCATGGGAACTTAACCATTTATGTTTATGTCACTTTATTGTATTTCAGGTTGATCCAAATACAGCTGTAGTTTCTTTGAATCAATAAAGACGATGAAATGTATTAACTGAAGATCTTCACCTACATGAACCTAAATCGCTCCTACCCAAACATAGAGGAGACGCACGAGACAGTAGAGGACCTTTGTACATCAATGTAGTAACAGAACCATTCCACAGTCGATGGTGTAATCTAAGCAAATAAAGGATGCAGTCAAACGTTCGTTTAATCAAAGCTGAAAATAGTACGCTGGTCTAGCCATATACAGTGAACTTCTTTGGGTGGCATTTAGAAGTTGCTGTGCTGAACAACTGAGAAAGTTATATGGATATACAACTTCTTTATTATAATGTAAGCGACATTTTGGTCCGCCAATTTCAA